TTTAAAATATTTTACTATTAAATTCATTTCCAAAGTATTCATGAAAATTAAAATGAATCTGAAGACGTGTTGCTGTTATAGGGCCGATATATATTTAGATAAAATCAAACTCTTTATTTCTAATGTGTCCCACATACCTTAAGATATGTTAATATGTTTAGAACTTTAGATTTGTTAATATCTTAAGAAAAAAGTAGAAAAAAAACCTCTCTTTTTTCGCCGATTCTTACATTTTCCATTTATTATCATACATAAATCGGTGTGAAGAGATGAATAAGACGTTTTAAACTTCATTCTGTGGAGTTAAACCGCGATATTTTGGCATTTAATCACTCAAGCGCCTTGTCCAGTATATACCGGAATACGGTTTTTAGTGTGGTACTCCAATCTCTTTTTTAGTCTCTGAGTTTGTGTACAAAATATCATAAATTTCAAATATCTTATAAGGTGGAATGCTTTGGTCAACAGACTTCATATTTGGTATTGAGGCTGATTATGACTAGTAGATGATCCCTATTCATTTTGAGGTCACTAGGTAAAAGGTCAACGTAAAAAGGGCATTGACTAAAAAAAAATTTGCGCCCAAAATCTTAAGAATCCTTTGACCTACAGACTCTTATTTGGCATGGATTCTAGATCATGACCATTAAGTGAGCCCTATTAATTTTTAAGTCACTGGGTCAAAGGTCAAGGTCACAGGTGCCTTTAGTTCAGAAAGCTGGTATGCTAAATTGCTTAAGAATGCTTTGGTCAACAGTCTCAATATTTAATATTATGGTTAGTTATGACTAGTAGATGACCCCTTTTGATTTTTAAATGACTGTGTCAAAGGTCAAGGTCACAGGGGCTTTAACTACAATAAGCTTGTCTGCTCAAATACTTAAGAATGCTTGTCTTCAGTGTATTGACTGACATTTCACACTTGAAGCATAATTATGTAATCTCATATATTCATCATAAAACACTCCCCAGACAAAGCTGCATGAATGTGTGGATTCAAGTCCTGCAGTGGCAGTTTCAGTTTTGTAGTCAGTAGGTCAAAGGTCAAGGACACTTTGATCTTTTCCACTAAGACATGTAGAATATATAAATTAGAAATGCATTGGCTTACCACCATCATATTTGGCCGGGAGGTTCTCGTTGAGCTCTAAATCACCACTGTTGATTATGACAAAGTGGTATACGGGGGTATTTACGCCATGACAGTGGCAGTTCTAGTTTCATGCAGTACTCCGATATTCATAAGACCTGTGTTGTGCAATATCTAGAGTATTAAGATATACCTATCTTTCTAAGTGAGTAATGTGTAGTCAGTGATATCAAATAATTCATTGGTAACAAACAACAACGACAACAACAACATTGACGAAAATAACAAAAACAAGAACAGCAGCAACTGAGCAGAAACAACAAATAAATAAATAAATAAATAAATAAATAAATATAATAATAATAATGATAATGATAACACAATAACAACAGATGTAGTAATAATAAAAAACAATAACTATGATTAAAGGAATAATATTAACAACAACAACAACAACAACAACAGCAACAACAACAACAACAACAACAACAAATACGACAAGAACATCAGAAGCAACAACAGAGGTAGTAAAGATAGTTACAATAATAACTATGATTACCGTGCATATCCAGTAACGCACGAATGTGCAGATAACGTAAAAGTAACGCCGAATCTGTGCAGCGATATTGCCGAACAGAATAACACAGTAAGTAAAAGAACCAAATATCTTATTCTTGATAAAATCTACAGGAATGCATGAGCGCATACGGCTGCTACAACATTATACTTTAACCACCAGTACATTTTTTTTCAGTAATATGTTTACTTCTTTAGATCATTCCTGAGAAAGTCAACCTGATTACCGTTTTAAAGGTGACTATGTTTAGTTAAATAAATATACTGAAACAAAAAAGAAACTTTCTCCAAGTTTGAATGTAGATATGTTACTTTTGAAACTCGATTTTCACGTTGAATAAACATATCGGGCTTTTATACGGTGATTAGCTGACCGATTTTACAAACAAAACGAGTTTTACAAGCTACTTCATGTATATATGTGTGTACATCTAAGTGGTACCCTTGAACAACTGGCACATATTTTGCGAAAGTTTCTTTTTTGGTTCAGTATATGTACATTTATCACATTAAAACAGTATCTTTATATTCTGTATAGTGGCCACCCAAGACATTTGTCAAAATACAAGTGCCGTATAACAATAGATGGAAGCTGGTAAAATAGGATTTAGCTACTTTTAAAGCAGCACGCCTCCAGATTTATGTTAATTTTCATGAAAAGTTTTAAAATATGCTTAAACGTATAATACTGTATAGTGACCAAAAGAAAGCAATTTACACCTAATTAATTGCATTTACAACTCTCTTAAATCACTAAAATGTGCAAAAAAGCCCTTACTGCGTTAGTAACGCAGTAGAAATATAGTCATAATATTGAAAAAAAAATCTGTCATTAACAACATTTAACAATTCAATAATTACTTGAATCTTTAATATGTTTAAATTCCTGGTGTCTAAGTTATATTTTTTTCAAGTTTGATTTTATTGAATATATATTTATTGAAATATTTGGCATATCTGGAGGCATATTTGGAGACATGTAGCTTTAATGCAAAAACCGCCGTTGCTTCAGTACTTCACACACGAACTCGGCGTTACTTCGTAAAAATGGTCTTAATTACGTTTTATCTGCTTAATCAAGTGTAATATGACCCGAGTAGATTGGAAAATGTCTCAGGTACACCGATTACAAAAACACATAAAGAAATATGTACATTATTGTATTTAAAGATATCGAGAAACTAAAAATCGTCATCAATACGCTAATCAGGTCGACATTTTCATGAAAGATCTTAAAAAAACATTTTCATGGAGATATTTTTGATGAGGTCTAAACGCTTATTGTTTTATCCCAATTTGGTGTACAATGAAAAATACTTCCTTCACAGCTCACTGAATTCACCCACGTTACTTAAATGAGAAAGTGAGCGATGGTGGAACATTCGACAGATGCACAGGAGAGTGACTGTCCCGGTAATGGCCACGGTATCGCTACGGCGTTTTAAACCGGTAAACCAGGATGTTCCGTGGTGTTTTTCTGAAAAATCAATTGCGTTTACACATCCCCGACAGAGCCTAGATGTATTCCCGGTTCAGTACCTTATATAGCACCGGATATATACGGTAAGTGCCAATGCGAACCCGGTGTATTCCCAGTGGAGACCCGAATAGACACGGTTTCATCACGGTTCATCCCGGCTCAAGTTTATGAGAATAAACTTGTTTGACCACGTTGACATCGGTCATTTGGTTAGAAGACAGCAGAGATGCTACCCAAAGGAAAGAAGAACGCAGTTGGAAAAAATTCGCTTACAACGCCTACAAAGGTTGAGGTACGTTTGGAAACGATTCAGGGAAGGACAATAAGGAAAGCTTGCCTCAGATCAAATAGCAGAGAATGGCTCTTCTTCGTCTTCACTTAACAAAATTTTCTAAAGTAGCACTTCATATACCTGTTCTTTAAATCACCTGTTATCGGCATGAGTTCGTGCCTCCACCGTCTATCACCGCTATAACCGGGGCTTGCCGGCAATATGCGGGACATTAACGGAAACAACCGGAACGTTGTCGCCAATAACCGGAATGTAGCCTAGCTCTATGTCTTACCGTGACGACATATTGTCATTACTGGGGCCCTGCCGTTTTTTGACATTGGTAAAGACACTTCGCGGTTTACTACGATTTATTACGATATGGTTGCGGTACAGATACAGTGGTTCCTCGGTGATTGCCGGTGCCAATCCGATAGAACACGGTCCTGGACTTCCTTCCCGGTGAGTGGCAGTGAGCTTGTTTGTACTAAACATGTTGATACAACCGTGACAATCTCCCGGTTCGTCCCGGTTCACCAAGGTCTATTCCTGTACTTCGCTACGGCCTTACACCGGTTTAATACGGTTGATCCCGGTGGACAAAATCGGGACGCCAAACCGGGGCTGTGTAAATGGGGCTTTACAGGATATACACGGTGATGATGAAAGAACAAGTAAAAAACATTATTGTAACAACAGATATTGTAATGATGATAATGGAAATAACCATAATAATAATTACGAAAGTGAAAATATGAAAGTGCTAAGTATAAGAAAGAACGTTGAAACACGAGGCCATCTGATAAATCAGATTGCCAAATGTTTTGATGTTCTTTTTCTTTTGTATCAAAGTCAAACATAAAAACATGTTCCCTGTTGTCACAATATGAAACCCCAGAAAAAAAGTAACCAATGTACGAGCATATGAATATGATATTTCTATCGCTTTCCCTTCCTCTTCCATCACAATAAGTAAACCCCAGCAAAACTGGGCCAATTAGAGGGCATACTCTGGAGTGCGCACTGTGCATGTATATGTATACGATTTAACTATGACACTTTTTCAACAGAAAGGTCCCCAAACTATGATACAATTTTTTTTTGTCATTGTATTTCACTGGCTTGTTTCCAGAGTGGTTTCTAACAATTTTACAAAATCCGATATTCAATATTTATTTGTAAAAGGCATGTCTATTTTTTAACATGACAATATTGATGAATATCTAACCAAACGTTCAGCATTTCTTTCGTGTGTGTGTGTGTTTCTGAATGAAATTTGTTAAAAACACATCACTGGTAATGAATAATAGATATGTTTTTCCTATTTCGCTTACTCGTATTATTAACGTTTTCTGAATTTTTTTATCTGAAAAACAAACGATTAAACATACAGCGTTTGTACGGGGATTATTTAAATCCATATTGAGGTTGCGCATGTGCCGGAAAAACAAAAGCAAAAGTTGAATAAACAGACGATTGGTGGATAAAATATCAGTTTATGTGTATGAATTATTCCTGCACACTTAATGTCAATGTTATAAAAGGTCGAATAGTCACAGTAGTTTCGGTAAAGCAACGCTAGTTACAATTTAAGCAAAAAGTCTATAGTACTTTTTTAATAGATTTGATAGTAGTACATGTGTAACTTTGATGTGTGCCATCATGAAAAGAGCTGATCTTACCATTTTTTTTATTCATTTGATATTTTTTAGTCGGCACTTTGGCTTTGCTTATGCATTTCTCAAATTTTCCAAAGACGTCGAATTGAGCGGGTATACTTGTCCGTCTGAGCACGTCGTTTTCCGTAATGGGAACGGAATAAGCTTATCACAATGTTTTTTTTTGTGTGTAGAAAGTGGCAATTGTTACGGATTTTTTCATCAAGACGCTGGACAATGTATCGGCTGTGGAGATATGTTTCCGAAGAGCTCCAGCTATCCAACATCCTCTGACACGCTTTTCTATAGAGCTCCTTGGGAAGATATTATTTCAAGTAAGTCTTTATTATTAGATTAAAAACATTATAACCGCCTCCATGGTCGAGGTGTTAGAGTCGATGTCCTGTTACCTCTCTGTGGGTTCGATCCCCGGGAGATGCTTTCAAAAAATTGGTAGTTTAACGCGGAGGAAGGTAGTCTAGTACTGGTGTTACTCTCCAGGAACGATGGTTGTTAGGGAACTACCCGCCTATATGACTGAAATACTGTTGGGAAAAGGTGTAAAATAAAAAACAAACAAACAAACAAACAAAACATTATATTATGTAATGGTTTCACCTTTCAAGATAGAGAAACGTCTACTAACCATTCAATAGTTAAAATTTTAGCTCAATTTGTTACAGTAACGTCAGCGTTGCCGTTACCTTGCCGTCCGCAAACTTGTACCTTGATTATAACTTTATAAGTTCTATGTGTATTTTCACTATACTTGGCCACAAAAACCAATGGGAAAGACCTTTTAGTAGACCCGACTAAACTAAACCTTCATCCATACTGATCTTGACTAAATGTTTAAATTTTGCTTGTTTATCTTTATTAGTGACTATAACTTTGTTATCTTTGAATGAATTGTCTTTAAACTTGAGCACAATGACCTTTTAGGAAAGACATTCAAGTTAACCAGATGGACCGTGATCTTTATTCAGAAATGACTCAAATGTCTAAATTTGCTTTTTTTTTCTTTTTATTGCTGTGGCTATTACTTCGTTATTTATGAATAAATTGTCTTAAACTTGAGCATAATATCTAAGGAGAGACCTTAAGGTTAACCAGACAGACCTTAAAGCAACACGCCTCCAGATTCATGCTAATTTTCATGAACATTTTCAAAATGTATTTGAACGTGTTAAAATGTGAAGTAACCAAAGGAAGAAATTTACACATTATCAATGACACTTACGAACCATGTAAATTACCAAAAAATGTCAAAATATGCATAAATAACCTTTACTGCGTTAGTAACGCATTCGAAATATAGTTGTAAATACTAAAAAAACAGTCATTAATCACACGTTATATGTAAAATATCACTTGAATCATGGATCTTTATTCTTTTCCTCACATCTTATTATATTTTTCTCAAGTTTGATTTTATTGAAATATTTTGACTTATCTGGAGGCGTACAGCTTTAACCTTCACTCATATTTGACATTGGCTTTGAAGGTCAAATAATTGATTTTATCATTTTTTTGTGCTGTAATTGGCTATTACTTTGCTATTTATAAATGGATTAACTTCATATTTAGACATAGCATATTTTAAGTTAGGACCTTCATGTATATCAAAATCAAATTGACCTCGACTCATGTTTGTCCTTGACGTTGCAGGTTAAACTATTAATTTTCACTGGTTTTTGCTATAAATGACTGTAACTTGGTAATCAATGATTGGATTATCTTCATACGTTGAGAAAACAACATTTTGGACAAGACCTTTTAAATGGTTTCATTGATCTTGACCTTGAGCTTTAAATAACATCGACCCTCAAGGCCAAATAATTGAATTATGGTTAAATTGTCATAATTTTGTTATTTATTTACTGATTTTAGTTAAACTTGGACAGAACAAGACTAACTTACCAAAGAAATATATTGAATAATTTAGATGAGACCTTGACCTTTAATTTTACACAATTAAAGAAATTCTCTTTTTTCTGTAACTGACTATACCTGTTATTTATAAATGAAATTTATAAATGACATTGACCGTCAAGGTCAAACTATTGTATTTTAGTTAATTTGTCATAAGTTTCTTATTTATGTACGGATTAGAATCATATGTGGAACTTTGATTATATTCTTTTCTTTAGTTTGTCCTTTATTCACAATGGAACAAAACAACAAATGTGACTAGACTAAAACTTATTTTTTCTTAAATGTCTTGTTAAAGATTTGTTTGAACAATGTATTTGTTTGCATTCAGAAAAAGCAAACAAGTCAAGCGTTGTCCATGACCGGCGGTGGCTCTTGTTTGTTTAAAATTGAAAATAAATATATGTATGGTGTTTTGTATATCATATATACCGGTACGAGATATTTGATCTTAAAGCAGCATTCAGGCTAATTTTCATGAAAATTTTGAAACTGTATGAATGTGTATTATTGTGAAACAATGGCACTTACTAACACGTAAATTACCAAAAGGTGGTATAAATATGCATAAGAAGTCTTTACTGCCTTAGTAACGCAGTAGAAATATAGTTTTCAATACTGAAAAATCAGTAATTAATCGTATATAATGTGTTTAATATTACTTGAATTTTGAAACGTTTTTACTTTTTCATTACATCTTAGTACATTTGTATCAAGTTTGATTTTATTGAAATATTTTGTGTACTCTGGATGCATCTAGCTTTAAGTGAATATTGCATATATTAATAAATAACCTGTCAAGATTACTTTCACCACAATTTTAATGTTTTCATGTTTCCTCCAACAGTTCGAAGCTGATAAAATTCATTTTTAAAACAACTATTAAACATCTAGTCTTACTTTTATTTGCAATTCATTTCATGTTAGTGCAGTTATTAAAAATCAAAGCACAGAAGGCGCTGAATTTGTTTGGGTCTCAGAATGTCAGAAAGGTGAATGTTGTGAGATTTTAAACCGATTGTTTTTTGCATAGTGTCATAAATGCTGTTTCCAGTGTTATAACTGTAGTAAATTGGCTATAAGACTAATTGATTTATTTGACTTAAACAAATATAAAAAAAGATGCCTTAGCTGGAATTTGAACTCCAACCCCTCGCTTCCAAAGCAAGCGTGCAAACCCCTCGACAACGGGGAAGTTAACAGATAACAGTCTGGAGAGAACCATATTATTCTAAGTTTCGATATATTTTGTACACGGTAAACCTGTTGTTTAACACTGATGTAAATAATCACGGAGCTTCATATTTATAAGCATGTATATCTATAAAGAATAACGTTATATAAGGAATTTTCGACCAATCGGGAACTATTTTTTCTTTATCGAGAAGGCTTGAAAATTAATGCGCCTGTCATTTGACAATCTTTACGCTGTGATCTCCCTTTAAATTTTTCGGCGTTAGTTAGCATATAAAGGGAAATATTCACTTCGAGGAGTTTGGACTACTTTCGGTATTTGCACATAAGCACATCAGGGTCTGAAAAACTACCATTATTTGTTTGGTCTGACGACCAAAACAAATTAAAAGTACGTTAAAAGAAAAACACACATTTGTTTAATCTATTTGAGACGTTATTTATGCGACGTCATCACAGCAATCGTTTTCTGTCAGGTTCGTGACGTTGCTTATCCAAAAATTTGAAATAGGGGAGATCCTCCGAAATAAATAAGATGTAAAAGTTCAACATCTTTTACGTCCCTCAGCACTGGCGCTAAAGCGGTAATCAATCTTCAACAGAAAATGTGCTTGAATCCATGATCAAGAAGGACCAGAGAAATGTAATAATACTGAATTGAAGAAGAGATGAGAGTAATGAATGTTAAAGAAATCATTATCATTCATAAAAATTAAACATTGTTTTTAGTTTTGTTATAACGTAATAATTACATCATAAAATGATAGGGTTTTTATCTATGTATTGATTAAGCTGAAATGAGTTTTTTTGCGGTATAGTATATATTAACAAAAATGAGAGTTGAAAATTAGTTTTCCCATGAAGCTATACCCTACCCATGATTGCTATTTGGTAGAAAACGTTTATTTTTATCCAAAACATCATTAAGTTTTTTGTTTATTGCACATCTTTTGAGTTCTGCTTTTACTCTTTCAGAATATGTCTACGTACCAGAAGGAATGACATGGCATCAGGCACAGGTATTTATGATAAAAACATAGAAAACAGTAGAAAGTAGAAAATTCTAATTCCAGATTTTAAAAGCATGTGAATTTAAGATAAAAATGACATGAATTAATGTGACAGGTAGACCATGCGATCAACAGGAGATTACTTATTTTTGTTTTGGGTAAACACTCATGGGAGACACAGGCAATATTTTTATTTCTTCCTTTTGTTTTTTTCCATTTATTATCTGTAAATGTCCTCAAATGAATAAACTAGGCAGTCATAGGAACAAAACTTTTCACCTTAAATAAATAAATGGTGGTTTCCTAAATAGACCCACGTGGATCAGGTTAGAGCGTTAAGATTTCACAAATAGGTGTCACAGTGAACTCTGAAAACGTTTAGGAACATGTCAAATGAATACAATCATACAATATCCACAATATATGTTATTGTAACATCAAGAGTTTGTTAAAGTCGCTTTGTTTTAAACCTACTCAGTGATTCTGTCGGTATCTAAATTTTGTTCAGCATGGATATTTTAACGCTTCAAACTCAAAATATATTTAATTTATGCCGAAATGCATGCTAGGACTTAAAAATGTTATTTTAGCATGATAAGGAGTACATAAGATCAATTTAAATATTTCTGTCATTTATTTTCCTGAGTATCTTGTTTTTCTTTGATACGACTAACAAGACAAATATTTAAATAGCTAAATTTAGCATTGACGTACAGTGCAGTAAAACAAATAAGCATTCTAATGATTAAATGCTGTCTTTGGAACTCATTAATTTAATTGTCTGATATCAAAAGTATTTCTTTAGAAGCAGACTGGATTTTTAAGTGTTTGAACCGTTGCCGTCTGTTTTAGATGGTTTGCAATATTTAAATGTTGCCGACAATGCCTATATTCTGGTCTTTAATATAGCGCAAAACAGAAATTGTCCTAACCTATTCGTTTTGACAGTTTGCATTGAAACAAGAATATAGTTAATCGAAGCCGTTGGATTTCCGGATTTCCAATAATTTTATTTTCCTAGCACGTCTGTCGATATTTTCATTATGATTATGATTGAAACAATATTTATTATTGTTTCTGTCTATTGACGCTGTTTCGTTAAAGGCTATAACGCTTTCCGTAACGAAATATTATCTAAGTTAGGTAATTTGTAAATGCTTAAATGAATTATGTCGTTTCCTTACAGAATGATCAATTCTCAGAGGAATTGAAACGTAAAATGTCTCTGTTATATATGAAAACATGAAAACTGTACTTAAACAGAATGAAATGTTCAAGAACAGTATTTATATATTATTTAGATTTTGACCATTGTATATATATATATATATATATATATATATATATATATATATATATATATATATATATATATATATATATATATATATATATATATATATATATATATATATATATATATATACGTCTTACATATATGATTTATAGCCTTATAAATGTATAATAAAGCTATTAATCTGCTGCCTAAAGATTTCAAAACTATTGTTTGAAAAAAAAATGTAAATACCGGTATGAAAGAAATGTGTAACACTTTCTATATTTCCGATATAATATAATTTTGATAAAAAATGTATGTTTAATGAAATCACAGGACAATTGCAAAGCTAAAGGGGGATCGTTGGTGGAGTTTGGTTCAAATGAAGAAAGGGAGCTTGTGGAAACGAACATCTTACAGGGTTTGTCTATATTGTTTTTCAGGTAAAAGGCGGATTAAGGTTAAATAGTTGTTTGAAAAGATTAATGAATACAAAATAAGGATGTATACATATAACTTTTTCTTACGATGTTTTAATTAACCAAGTTAATAAAAATTTCTGTTACACTTGAAATTGTGAACTTGCGTTTGCTTCTATCTAAGATGCTGAAAATTTTAAATCATGTTCAATTTCAATCTGCTTAGTTTTCTCTTGGTCGACACCGATGTCTGCTAGTCCCATTGCTATATATTATGTTTTTTTTCTTCAGGTTTTGGTCATGGTGCAGGGGTATGGATAGGTGCATATGATGACAATATGGACGAGATTTTTCTCTGGTCTGACGGTACCGTTGTCAATGACATTTTCATAAAATGGGGACCTACTGATCCAGACCTTCACGATCATACTGAACATTGTGTATTATTTGCAAACACAAATGGTATCTGGGCTTCGCATGATGTTTTGTGTAGTAGAGCTCCATCAAGCGTATGCCAACTGGACTAATAAACTAGTTGACATTACGGACATTTATTCATTTTTAACTTGCTTGACATTATTGTTGATGTAAAAAGATAAAAGATAACAATTGTGTGTCAGAGTAATACCATCTCCTTTAATGCTGTAGATTGAACCTCTGTATAAAACATTCATAGAATATTCAATTTGATAGATTTGTCTAGAATCGAAGCAGATTAAGGCATAGACATGAATATGAATTGACCTATAAAGGATGAAACCACTTCTCAAAAAAAAAAAATAGATAAAAATGCATGGATTGAATTTTGTTGTAGATATTGTCTTACATTCTTTCAGCATCCAACACTTTTTGAACTCCTAAAACATATATCCGTAGTTTTATAATGATGATGAATTTTCGTTTACTAATGCTCTAATTCATGTGCACTGGCTTGCGTCAATTTGTACAACACCAATAAATACCCTTCTCTCTGCATCGGCTACACTTGTATTATTATTTCTTTAGCCAATGTAATTTGATAAATAGATTAATGTTCATCATGCGTTTAATTAACTTATTATAAAGAAATAATGAACGAATTCAGCATGTGTCACATTACAATGATTGGTTTTAATGAAATGTCACTGTGTGAGAAACCATGGACTCTCGGAATACTGTTTCGCGGTTCAACCGACTGAGCTATCCTACCGCATACACATTATCTCCCCTAAATAGTGAACAGTATAAATATAACTTACGACCCCTCGTACATATCAGATAGCCTCGTGTTTCGATGATCATTAAATATGAAACCCCAGAAAAAGGTAATCAATGAACGAGCATCTGAAAATGTTATTTCTATCGCTTTCCCATTCTCTGCCGGCACAAAAAGTAAACCCCAGCAAAAATGAGTCAATCAATGGGCATGCTCTAGAGTGCGGGTCTCCAGTTTTTGTACTGTGCATGTACAGGTATTCGATTTCACTATGCCACATTATCAACAGCACTATGCCACATTATCAACAGAAAGGTCCCCAAACTATTATGCAAATATAACTTACTAGGCATTAACATTCCTTGGCTCTTTACCTGCAGGTTTATCATTTAAATGAATTCAATGTATATATTAGTCAAAGACATGAAGAACATTTTAAGTATGAACAATTTTGTAATTAAAACAAATTCATTCCGCATTGACTTAGATGTAACTTGAAGTTGCATTTTCATAGTGATTAAGAAGATTTACAAAAATTGTTGTAAATTGCCTTGGCAGTAAATAAAAGTTTTTGAATTCTATTTATAATTCTGACACTTTCGGGATTTACCGATGACCACAATAAGGTCACAAAATATAATAAGGGATCTAAATAATAAATACGCTTACACATTATTTGAATTAATTTTAAAAGTAAAACTAGTCAAATGGTTATGCAACTATTAAGTGTGACAAAAATGCGGATCGCTTGTCAAAAAAAACAAACAAACCAAAAAAAAAAAAAAAAAAAAAAAAGGAAAGAAAAATGAAAACTATTTCTCTACTATTCTAGTATTGACAATGAAAATGATATAAAAACACTTACTGAATAAATATATAATTATACAGACATAAATATGTGAACAAAAATTCATGTTAGCCCTTCTTTTTGTCATCGCCTATCAATGCACAAGTTCTAATATATAAGTGCATGAATATCTAACCTTATCGTATGTACACATTTAATATAATGTATGTACCTCCCAAATGGCAGAATGACTTTATCTGCCTTGGTTCATGCAAAGTTTTGAACAATCAAAGATTGAAAAATTGTAAGTTAACAGGTCAAAAGATACTACCCTCAACTCTGTATTGAGTATAAGCATAGGATAAAAATGTCACCGTACGCGTGATACTGATGCCATAAAACAGGAACGACTATTTTAAAAACTCCGATACACTTAATGACGAATTCAGAGAAAGTGCATTTAGTTTAAACATATTTATTTCAATATTTTACATATAGTACATTTTATATATATATATATATATATATATATATATATATATATATATATATATATATATATATATATATATATATATATATATATATATATATATATATATATATATATATATATATATATATATATAATTGTTACATAAATTGGAAGGGATTAGAACGAAAGAAAATTATATAGTTCCTCTCCCTAAGTGCATTTGTTAAATTTATTTTCAAATTTTCTAAACACTTATTAAAATCTATAAACAGCAAATTTTATATTATTCAAGAGCAATGACATTGGTTAAGGCACCGGCTGAATACTTTTTGCATTATAAATAAGAACCAATACAGGAATAGTGTAATGAAACAAAATAAAGTGTTCTGGAACATTATATGGCTATTTCAAGAATGGTTATAACCGTTTAGCAATGGTATTAATGGTATCTTGCATGCGCCATTCTCTTTTGAGGCAATTTACTATCATATTTCTTGTATATAGGCATTTGCAAGTATTTGAAAACTGAAACAATAATCTTTAAAACAGATAAATAGCTTAGTACACTGTTAAACCCTATTTTATCGAAATCAGCTTGTATAGACTGATAAGAAATCTTTATAAGATATATTAGTCTATTTTTGTAAAATTAGTATGCCTATGATATTTGGAAATTCCAAACTTCCTCTACTTATGTCTACTTACGTTATACAAATAATTCAGATGTGAAGAAATCATAAATAAGTCAATTTTCTGATTAAAATCTAATTTAAAGATTATTATTGATTACTCAAAATTGCATTCGGTGTATGTTGCATCGTCTTTGCAAACTGGTTGTTGTGGAGGGGCAAATTACAATCCTTAGGGTATTTTTCAGTGAAACAACATGCAAAATATCTATGAAATGGGAGAATATTTCTATAATATTGTTGACATGCAAGTCTTAGACATTTGACCATATGGACATATCTTATTTATTTTTGGTAAAGATAGACTAGGCAATAATACATTCAAATAGCTAAGTATAAAACATTTAACGTCGTCTGAAGAACGTGTTCTGCAGATAGTGTCTGAAGAAGTCTAAATCTCTGTTCTGCAGATAGTGTCAAAAGCTTTTTATTTCATTTGATTGGTTTAAAAGATACAGAGCAGGGACAAAATTGATTACAAACCGACATATTTTAAATACATAAATTCTAAGAAACAGGTATTTTACAACATGTATAATTTACTTTGCCATGAACTTAATGAAGCATTTTTAAATCTCAATTGTATCCAGAGTTTATCATCGCATCAAATTATCTATGTTTTTTCCCATTTAAATATAAGTAGACATATACATACATTTGTATTTATAAACAAAGTGCAATAAAACACAAATAGTTTTGCTTCGTGTATATTAACATTTCACAAATAAGAAAAACAGAAAGAAAATCGTATTTGAAATCGGTAGTATCCACTTGTGTCTTACTACAAAGAACCTAAAATAAAAATAAAAGACGGACATGAAATAAAAGAAAATACGAAAAAAAGAATAATAATTCAGATATTGTATTCATTAACTAATCAAACTTACATTCTTACATTCGGTATGGTTCAAAAGTACACTTCTGGCGTTTTTTTTTTAAATATGATATTTAAAACTGATATATTACTTTCTGGATTTAAATAATTCGCTTGCTCAGAAAGAACTTTTAGAGACGTGAAATCTAGGATTATTGCCAGAAGGTTTCAGTCTGATCCGCTAACATATGTTGTTTTGAAAAAGAAATAAATGAAATTTATTTAAAAGCATATGATTATGTTTTTAATACCAATCAACACTGTTGTGTGTTAGCACGGAAATATTTGCATAGAATCTCCCATGCAATCGCTCTCACGCCCCGTACTACATCTTCTTATCCCAGCACGTGTTCCAGATCCGCATGTCACAGAACACGAGCCATAAAACCATTCTGACCAGCTTGGTGTTACTTTCAACAAGAAAAAGGCATTGAATATTAATAAAAAGAAAACACGTATAGTTATCGCATATATTAGGGAGCTGGAGTTCCTGAAACCATATATTTTTAAATTCTTGCAGAAATCTGGCCAAACACTTATACTGATCGTGTATTGTCATATTAAACATACACGTGCTTGTTTAAAAAAAGTGAACTAATTCGATACATTAATATGAATTTGTTGAATTCTAGGTATCTTATCACCTCGGGTTATTGAAACTCGTGTAATTCTAAGAGATATATTTTTGACATTTCTGTATGTTTCAATCTCAGTTAAGTGTATAAACCAATATATATTTTTTGGAAAAAATATTGTCTGAATGTTAAAAAAATGATTTTTCCGAAATGCTGATATGAATTTAATATGGCATGAAAAGCAAAATCATTGTAAAATCAATGTTAAATAACAGAGACATCCTCTATTACATCTCTTCCAAGGATTTGTCATACGATTATGGAACCAATATAAGTTTAAGATGGCCCCTACAAATGTGACATTTGAATAGGCATTTTTTCTGAAACATGGGTTTCATCACTTCCATCCAGAATAAAAAAAACCCAGAGCATGCAGTAGAAGCACCCGGCTCATCCCTCCAAAGAAATTCAACAGGGTGCCATCAGCACTGACTAACTTCAGCAGGTCGTTCCATAAACGGTACATAATATGCAATCGAATTTAGACTTCTGCGTAAAAAATATCGCGCGTAAAAATAAGGACAAACTGACTCAAGGTGTTCTGCTCTTGCACGACAATACGATGACTGCTGCCACCGACTGCGGCTTAGAAATTCTTCCCCATCCCCCATGTTCTCCGGACTTTGCTTCCTCTGACTTCTGCCTGTTTACGACTGAAAACCATGTTTCGTGGTAGACGTTTTGGAAGAATGCAGTTGTCATGGAGGCGGCCAAAATATAGGTGACATTTTGAAGGGTATAACAAGTTGGAGCACAGGTGGGCAAAGTGCATTGATGTAGAGGGCGATTATATTGAAAGTAAGACTATAAGTTCGGTTCTCTTACTACGTAAGTACATCGGGCCAAGAACTTTTTGATCAATCCTCGTATCTACTCAAAACTTTGATATAAAACTTTCTTAGGCAGTTATTGGTCGGGGTTTTTGTGAATACTTGTAGTTAAATTATTGAAGAGCTTACCTATCTCACAATTATTTTCGTACCAACCGGAACAATAACATAAATAGCCCTGCTGGTTACTGACACAAAGTCAACCATTTTTTGCACAGACTGCTTGAACAGTGGTCAACTTGTGTTACCTCTGTATTATGACATAACAAGTTATTTATACGGTATAAATCCATATTTAAGTCGAGATTGAGAGAGATTTTAATTTAATCATATTGAAATGTTTACCACCATGAGTAGCCGTGTCGTGCACATGAAACATGTCTCTAGGTCACAGGTCAGGGTCAATCTTAGAGGTCATTCCAAATGTTAGTAGGGAGCAAAAATTCTACATGTATAGAGGGATTTAAATATAACTTGGGACAAATGTTAACCATAGTGTCGCGCAATAAATTTAGGTCCCTCCACCACACCAAAGAAACGTCACACATAGACATCAAAGGTCAGATAAAAATATGAAGATATATGTAGGGACCATTGTTTGTTTGTTTCATTCTACGCCTATTCCCAACAGTATTTCAGTCATATAGGCGGACAGTTTCATAACCATCGTCTATGGAGAGTTACACCGGAATCAAACTACCTTCCTATGTGCTAAACTACCAAAGCATTTCCGGGGATCGAACCCACGCCAGAGAGGCAACTGGATAATAAGTCATCGACTCTAACCCCTCGACCACGGAGGCGGTGTAGGCACCATTAAGTCATCACTAATTGTGTGAATGTAACACAAATGGTCATTATCATGACTAAGGCGGTACACGTACTATTAAGGTCAATATATGCAAGGTCACGGTCACGGTCATAAAATATGATGAAATATACAGATTTCGTCAGGAGCATATATCCTACATGTAAAGCAGAATTTATATAATACTTTATATCAATGTTAAACACCATGAGAAGTATTGCTCTACACAAATCTGACTAAAGTTCAGATCAAGTCATTTCTTTTATGAAGATCTGATGTCTCGCCTTCTTTATATTTCGAATTTTCTATTTTTATCAATGTAATAAATCGGTATTTACATAGGCATTAGAAGAAGTTTCAGAATACCGTTATCCGTAGAAGTTATACAAATTGATGATTTTTGTAATTGGTCAGTTTTTAATGGGCAAGATTGTTTTGACAGTTTACCTGTCGGCTATATAGACAACAGAAATGTTTGTTCTCGTTATCGTGAAAATTAACAACTAAGTATTGGTTATCTCAGAATTTAACTTAAAAACCACATCGCTTTCAAAATCACGAAAGCGCGCCGATGATTCGCTGTGAGAAGGGTCACCAAAATGATTTTCTATTTGGACACGGTCAGATCTAAAAGAAGAGCGTTATTTAAATCTGGTTTTAATTAGATAGTGCTCTTTGCATGATTAAGATATCTAGATAGAAACAAGGTAACATTAAGAGCTAATTTAAAAACGCTTGTTCGGAGCAAAACATATACATTCATAGAGGAATTTTGATAAAAAAAGTAACTTGGGACAAATGTTCACCATTGTAAGGCCGAGTGCCGGGCGCGAAATTCGGTCCTAGCAATCAAAGTCAAGGTCACACATAGAAGTTTTGCAAGTCAAGATCATACGAGATGATTATATTGCCAGATATTGTGCAGAGCATATCTTCTACATACAAAGAGGAATTTTATTGTTATTTTACAGAATTGTTGACCGCTATTAGACGCAGTGTCTTGCTTACAAACAGGTCTCTAGATCAAAAGTCAAGGTCACAGTAAGATTTATTTTGTAATAAAACGCTTGTCTCGAGCAAGCCTTCTACAAGAATTAAGGGATTTTATATTTACTTGGCAAATGCAGAAAGTTTCACACACTCCCTAGTATCAGTGAAGTAACATAAGTTTTTGCAGAAATCATGCACACACAGTAACTGTAATTTTTTTGTCATTTAAAGCTGCACGCCTCCAGATGAGCCAAAAAAATCAAGAAATTCAAAATTGAGAAAAATGTACTATTATTTTAAGAAAAGTAAAAACATTCAAGATTCAATTTATATTTTACATTTTATATTCGGTCTTAGACTGATTTTCCCCAGTATTCAATCACCATATTTCTACTGCGTTACTATTGCAGTGGCTGTTTTTGCATATGTTGCTCACTTTGGGAAAATTTCTTGGATTGTAAGTGCCGATTGCAATATATACTGTAAATTGCTTTATTTGTTCACCTCGAAATAATTTACTATTAAATTCATTTCAAAAATATTCATGAAAATTTACATGAATCTGAAGGCGTGTTGCTTTTAAAGGATCTGACATATACTGAGATAACATCAAATTCTTTATTTCTTATGTGTTACACATACCTTAAGATATGTTAATTTGTTTAGAACTTTATTTCTTAATGTGTTCAAAATACCTTAAGATAAAATTAAACTTTTATTTTTTTAATGTGTTTAACATAACTATAACAAAAACAACATATTTATTTGATAATAAGGCCACCGGCCCATAATATACAAAGCAACATGGATAAACATTTTACGTCCCTCTAATTAATATCGTCAGCTTTACAAAGAATATGGTGTATATACATGTAAATACATATATTACGTATTGTTGTATCACAACTCGAGTTCATTAATGAGTAGAAATCATTTAAATTTGTTCTTCCATCATACCAATTTAGTAAGAATAGTTGGCGTACTTCATTATATTTATAGCAATGGAAAAAAACATGAAATTCACAATCTATAATTGAGATATTTCTATTATTTATACAATATGTACAAAAGCATTGTTCTCTTGGTATATTTAAATGTTTGCCGATTTCTATTTTAAGTTTGTGGTTAGAACACCTAAACTTAGAAAAAGATTTTTTATAAATAAATGGTAAAGCCAATATTAAGTATTTTTCAACATTTAAAAGTGATTTAAAATTTCTATAATGAAAGCATCGACTAGAAGTATTAATATCGTTATGCCAATTTTGAGTGTAGCAATCAACACAGTCTCTGTTTAAACAAATGAATAAACATGTCAGGATTACCTATTTCTTGCAAAATTCAGGCAAACCCAAAACCAAACTCGAATGATAATTTTTTTTATCTAAGTAGCCCAATTATATCTCCCACTATCATCATGATTTTTCAACATAAGATAACTTTGTCGCGAATATCTCGATTGTTGCATAGTCAATAACTTGCACCAATATTTTATACAGTTTTATACAGTCATATAAAATATACATAATGGTAATCTGCCACATTCTCCTAGTGCCATTGCGTTATTTGTAGTTCTATTAACATTTAGGCACCTTTTACAAAAATCATTATGAACAGTTTCAATAGTATTTACATAACAATAACCCAATACTTGTGAGGCATAAGATAATATTGGTTTCACCAAAGCATCAAATAATTTAAAGTATTCTTTGACTGGAAAATATCCAAATGACTTTTGATACTGTTTGATGGCTAGAATAGATTTCTTGGCTTGAATAAACAAATTTATTGTGGGTTGATGACCAAGATATAGTAGGTGTAAGATAAACAACCATATATTTATAAATTGATACTACATTAACAGGAGATCCACGATAGAGCCAAGATTCATAATTTCAAAGACCACCTCCATTACGGAATACCATAATCTCTGTTTTATTTAAATTCAATTCCATACCCGTATCTTGACAAAATACGTCTATTATATTAATTTGTTGCTGTAATTTGACAGCGGTTTCTGCGCAATTAGGAATGTCGTTCGCAAACATAAGACAGCTAATGTCATGTATGTCGTTAGTTATAAAAATTCATGTTCCACACGAGAGACGTAGTAACTCTGCTAATTCATTAATAAAAAGTATGAATAT